TTAGGCCATCAGCGTGCGTTTCGTGTCGTGCCGTGTTGGGTTATGACGGGCTCATGCCTTATCAGACCATGTTCATACCATGTCTAATTGACCCATGTGTCTTCCCGTCCCATTCCATCTTATGAAAGTATTAGTAGGACTATGTTATGTGGGTGGTATTCGGCCAAAAATATTCAACGTTAAGTTGCGTTCTCTATTTGACTTAGCGTGCTGCAATTAAAACAAAAATCAACATATTCACGGAGGTGGAGGTTTGAGCCGTTGCTGTTTATACTGTTGAATTTTGGAGCCATCTCCCAAAGTTGTCCTCTCTCTTTTTTCCATTAAAATTGGATCTTCCAAGTAGTAATCCACAATTTTTAAAATTGGAATTTATAGTGATCCACAATAACCTAATTTTCAGCATATACTTTTTTTCTAATCTAATATGTTAATTGTTTGATTTGATTTAAACTTATATATTCAAAAAAAAAAAAAAAAAAAAAAAACCACATACATGCTACTCCGTAGTATTAATGTGTATTTTCCAAATATTTAATTTGCGTAACACAAATTCTTATACAGTATGTGGTACCGCTTTTGCACACATAGTTTAAAAGGTGGTGCTGCGATAGCAAACAGCTGAAGCCGTATTATTTTGTACACACCAATAATAGTTGGGATAATTTTAAATCAATTTTTCTTAAATATATCTTTACTAAATATACATTATATTTTAAAATTCACTCTATAATCTCTACCCTATAAATTTCCTATAACTTTATGCAAGCCCTACTATTGTGATTGTTACGAAAAGGAAGTAGTAATACTCCGTATTTCACAAAATAATTTAACAAAAATACTTTTTTAGCATAAAAATAACTTAATTACCTTTTAAAATTAAAGAAATAATTCAATGTTAATACTTTGTGTATTATGAGAAAAAATGTTGTTGAATTTCAAAGCACACATTGCGCGCATGTAAAAACTTTGTAATCGTAGTATTCACACACAAATCGTTTCCCAAGATAGACACAAAAGGCTAGTTAAGCCCACAAAAAGGGACTATGTTTTTACATTTTTCACCATTTGAGTACTCATGTTTTTATTTTCACCGTTTTGGTACTCAACAGTGAAATCCAGTCAAAAACAGATAATTATCACCAAAAACTTAGTATCTTGGGTTAGAAAGCATAGTACCCTTAGTTAACATTAAATGAAGGTTTTTTTTTTGTTTTTATTTTTTTTATTTTTTTTTTCTCTTTAGGGAAAAAGGATAGTATATTGTAATTAAATAATGTAGATGTGGGTATAGGAGATGATTTTACTTATGTAGCTTCCCTGAAACGAGTCGTCTCCCGCAAAACAAGAGGACCATAAGCATTTCTCTTTAACTCCACTACAATTTCTACTGCTCCTTCTGTATTAACTTTCACATTGTATTCTTCAAAAAAATAAACCTTTCACATTGGTTCATGTAATGCCATTTTCATCCAAAAGCTTGCTTTTGTTTTCTAGCTCAAAGAGGAAGAAAATCACATTATTAATTGTGTTTGCACGAGGTATGAATTTCATCTATATTTTTTTTAATTGGACAATAGTCTTTTTTTTAATGATTATGATTGTGTGTGAAATCAATAATTTGTAAGTAAATTGGACTAATTTGTAGTGTATTATGATCACTTAATTTGGTGGTGAAAACATGTGTGTGATTTTGTAGTTGTTGTAATGGATAATTGTGGTTGAGTTTTATTAAAAAAAAAATTAAAAAAAATAAAAAATTAAAAAAATTAAAAATTCAAGTTGATTTTTCTAGAAAAAAAAAGGGAAAAGGGATTTTTTTTTTTAGTTGTTTTATTGAATAGTTGTGATTAGTTTACTATGTAGCATTATTAATGGTGTCATATTTGCATAAGACATACCTTTGTCTATTATTGTGCATTATGGAGGTTCTTGGAATTACACACCATCATTAGCATACGTGGGTGGGAGTACAAAGATCTTTGATGAGTTGCCTTTGGACATGAATGCTGCATATTTTAGGAAGATGATTGACTCTTTAGGATATGAGGACATAGCTAAATTACACTACTGCGATCCTTTGAAAACAGTTGATGTAGGAGTGAGGTTTCTTGCTTATGACGATGCAACATTTTTGAAGTTCATAAGATTGCTCCACTTATACAGAGTGATGGATGTTTTTATCGAGCATGAGTTAGACTCAGAGGATGAGGTTAATGGTATTAGGGGGGGGGGGACCTTTTCTGCTTTATTAGGGGGAACAACTGAGTTACAACCTACCTACCATGATGAAGAAACTAAAATAGAGTATGATGATGAGCGGACCGATAATGATGATGTTGAGGTATTAGGGGCAAGGAAGCACACAGTTGATGACAAGAAGGCCGAGAGGGAGTTGGTTGATGAGACTGAGTCAATTGTTAGGCTTGGGGGCAGAAGCAGTCAACATAATTTAGGGGAAGAAAACTATGAGTCATATAGTGATGAGTGTCCAGAGAGTCCACAAGAATCAGAAGGAGAGGACTTTGATAATCTAGTCTCTAGTCCAAAAAAAGAAAAAAAAAACAAAAAAGAGCAAACACTATAAGTGAATTTGGTCAAATGCTGAATGCAAGGGCAGAAGATGACCATAACTTTTTCCTAGGCCAACAATTTGAAGATGTAAAGGAAGGGAAGCAATCACTAATTTTTGTGTGAGCAAGGGAAGGGATGTGGTGTTCACTAGAAAGGACAAAACTAGGGTAGGGGCAAGGTGTAAGGAACATGAGAGAGGGTGTCCTTGGTACATTTGGGCTTCTGCAAAGAGGGAGAAGGAAAGTGTCATAGTGAAGACCTTAGTTCCACACCACAAATGTGGCAGGCAGCCAAAGGTTCTCAAGGTAAGGGCATCTTGGATAGCTAAGACCTACCATTCCAAGTTTAAAGTGAACCCTTATCTCAGGTGTCAGGAAATAGTTGACACCATTTGGAGTGAGTTTGGCTTAAAAGTGAATATATGGCTTGCCCTCAAAGCTAGAAGAAAAGCACAACATTTGATCGTTGGTGAGTATAATGAGCAGTACTCCCTTCTACGTAGATATGTTGCTGAGATCAAAAGATCTAATAATTTTAACACAATTAAGTTAAAGATGGTAAATAATGTGTTTTAGAGGTTATACATTTGTTTTGAATCTATAAAAAGGGGTTCATTACTGGGTGCATGCCTTTTTTTGGTGTTGATGGTTGCTTTTTAAAAGGACCATTTGGTGGCCAATTGCTAGTTGCTGTAGGTAGGGATGGAAACAATCGGATGTTTCCAATTGCTTGGGCACTTGTAGAAACAGAAGACACCGATAGTTGCCGGTGACCTAGACACGTATAATGGATTTGGGCACACTATAATGTCCGACCAACAGAAAGGACTCCTTAAAGCTGTGCCAGAAGTGTGGCCTAGGGTAGAAACAAGGTGTTGTGCAAGGCATGTTTACTGCAACTTCAGAAGTAAGTTTGGAGGTGGATTGTTGTATAGAAGAGGTTTTTGGAGAGTGGCTAAAAGTAAAACTGAGAATGAATTTAAGGAAAACATGAACAAATTCAAGGCTTTAAATGCTGATATAGGGAATGATTTGATGAACATGAACTATAAAAAATGGGTAAGGGCTTTTTACACTAGTCAATCACAATGTGATAGTGTAGACAACAACGTGAATGAGGTTTTTAATGCCTACATCCTCTCATCTAGGCACAAACCCATTATAACCATGCTTGAAGACATTAGGGAGGCTCTTATGGAAAGAATACATAAAAAAAATGGTTTCATGATGAAGAAAGAAACAAACATATGCCCTAGAATACAGACGAGGCTTGAGAGGGCAATGGTTGATGCTAGAGAATGGGTGACATTTTGGGATAGCAAATTCTTCTATGGAGTCGGGGTGGGGGGGGGGGGGGTTGGACTCAAGCTAGGTATGTTGTGAGCTTGCTAGACAAAACATGTAGCTTCAATGCATGGCAGCTTAGTGGGGTTCCATGCCACCATGCAATGACAACAATATGGAAATCCAATGAGCTCCCTGAGTCATATGTTTCCCATTGGTTTAGTAAAGAAACATACTTGAAAGCTTATGAGTTTCCTTTAGAGCCCTTAAATGGACCTATGAGTGGCCACATTCAATGCAAACACCCATAGAACCCCCTGCAATGAAAGTTTTGAAGAATAGGAGAATGACAAAGAGAAGGCCATCTGTTGGGGAAGCGGAGGGTATTAAAGTCACAAGGGTAGGACAACCTCACAAATGCAGTATGTGTGGACTAACAGGTCACAACAAAAAAACATGTAGAATGTCGAGTACTATACACAGGCATCATCAAGCACCCTCGTCTAAAGGACAGGCCAGCAATCACACCAACACATACTACCCTACACAACAATCTGAAAGCATTGTACCAATGCATCACAAAGGTGTAGGAGTATACACCAATCTTAATGGCCATCAAAGACAAGCACAGGTACATTACTACATTCACCATTTCCATATTTAGACAATATTATATATATATATATATATATATATATATATATATATATATATTATTAATTATAATTTTTTTTTTCTTCAGCCATTACATGTTCAAGGTAGGAAGATTTGTGAGACTCCTGCTGCAAGACCATTTCAAAACAATTAGTGAAGATTGCAAAAGAATTTAGAAATTGAAGGATAAATAAAAAAAAGTGTAGAACTTCCTATATAAATATTCAAGTAGCCTGCTGTGCCTTATTTTTTTGGTCAAAGGATGGTGTATTAAATTTTTTAAGAATTGAAGTACATTGTGTATTTGTGCTAAATTATGCCCAAACAACTATTTTTTGTAACTGAAGGTAAGTTACATTTAATAATTTTTGTTTTTTTTTTTTATAATTTTATTATGTATGGTTAACGGTGGGTTAGATCATGGTTAGTTGGCCGGATTTTTGACCTTAGTACCTAAAGAGTGAAAAAAAAACATGAGTACCTAAAGGGTGAAAAAATGTGAAAACTTAGTACACTTTTATACGCTTAACTCCACAAAAGGCCATAAACACTTCATAAATATCAACACATTATGGGGGATTAAAACATATAACTACATAACAAAAAGTAAGTATAAAACTACATATTCTAACAACCCTCCCTCCCTCCCCCGAAGAAAAAGAAAGAGGAAAAAAAAAAAAAAAAAAAAAGGAAAGGAAGGAGCAACAGCTGACTACACTACATAGGGCACAGTTGAACATTCAGCTCAGCATAGCGAGCATCATCTACCTTAAAACTATAGCTGAGAATGCACCCACAGAGAGAAACTAAGCATGCCGCGGAAATCCCTAATCATATTTAAGCCCATTTTGTTGGCCATTACTGCTTGATTCTTCTTTCAACTGCATGGAAAATAATTCACCAAGATTAGTTATAGAGACCAGACACTTAGTGTGAAGGTAGCAGCAGCATCTACAAACTGATCTGTAATGTGACTGAAAAACTATAGGCTAAGAAAGATATAAACTACATAATTAGACCTTATTTTGTTGTTTATGAGTACAATTCTAGACAGATCAAGGTTGTTAATGCCAACCTAATATTAATCTAATTTTGTTTGTTAATTGTTAACCAACTTAAGATAAGCTTCCTTTATCAACATAGATAAGTAGCAAACATCAAGCACATAAGACATGATGTCGAAAGTGTACCTTTGCAAGGAGCTTCTTCTGGTAACGAAAGCCCTGTAAGACAATGGATAGAAAGGAATAAGCAGTGTTCATCACATTTAAGATCATTTGACTAGAAAGCTAATAATCACTGGAAACAAAATGTAATCACCTTATCAGTCCCATAGATGTAATCACAGTAGGTGAAGACTGAAGCAAAGTTGCTTTGGCTTTGTCCTCCAACGTAATGATGGTAATCATGGTACTCAGCACCACCATAAAAAGGAATATACTTGGTGGGGCTCCAAGGAAAATCATATCTGCAAGAAAACAGTTAATCGAATTCATATCAAGATAAGCAACAATGAAGATTTAGCCAGAATTTCCGACAAAAAGCTCAAAAAGAACCCATACACAACGGTGAGTTACATGATGGCAAGTAGGAATAATAAAAACCTTCCAAAGTTGAGACACCAAAGCAGCTCGATTAGGAAGTATGCCACTATTTATACAAATGTTATGTCTCATCTCTCATCTAATTGGCACTAGAAATCTAAAATCATTTCATTCATCAAAGCTTATGCCTTTGAAGAGGAAAAACAATTAGTAGTACTGAACAGAAATTAACATAAAATCTTATTATTGAAAGCCTCTAGTCTTTATGAAAAAAACAAAGTGATGTTTGTATTATGGGCGGGATACAGGAAAAATCATGCACTACAATGTCCAATATCCCCATCATGACAAATTTAAATTGAACAACCAAAAGCTAGTAACATGTGAAATGATCCAAAATGTATCTTAATGCACAAAATAGAGTCAAAGCAAACAGAAAAAAGGTATCCAAATATACCACACTTGTTCAATTAAAAGCTAATCAAGCGTATTTAAAGCACAAACCCCGTCGCAATAATTTGACACCAGACAGCCAAAAAAAATGAAAGCCAGTTCAGGATCATGCCCCCAGTCAGATTAAGAGGAGGTTCAAAATCTTTCTGCAGCCCCCTAAGGGAAAACTACAATTACTATTTTCCACATAAAAATAAACTGAGCGTTTGGTTCGTAGAGTGGTATGGGTTTGGAATCAGGAATGGGATTATGATGGTATCGAGTTGGAACTTGATACTTAATACCATGTGTTTGGTTCAATTATGTAATGGAATCTCTCACTATTCCCTCCTTTTATTTGATACCTAAGGGAATGGAATGAGCCAAACCCACCTCCCCCCAAGGTTTCTAAAACCCATACCTCACGGGTTTGAGGTATGGGTTTAAAATTCATACTTTTGACAACCAAACATCTGGTATGAGTTTTAGTCATTCTAAACCCATACCTCATACCTATATTTCGCGAACCAAACGCCCCCTAAAGGACTGTAGGGGTAAAATGAAAATAGCGCTAATTGCATTGTAGCCCTAAGATCAGGAACTCATCATTAAAGGTCACAATTCCATCCCATCCCCCTATTCGGATTGAATAACCCCTGATATCTTAGATGTACAAAAACTTCAGAGCCCAACACACGAAAAGTGTATCTGAGTTTATTTTTTTCGTCCATCAGAATTAAGATCCAGTTAAAGATGATAAAGTGTTGAAAATTCTATGTAGATTTCTCTGAATAAATTCATCCTTTCCAACATAACCTTTCTATGACTTCATTACTAAGAGTTCATACACACAAAACATGTGACTGTGTAGCAATTTGGCTTGTATAGGCAGCAATGCATGATACTTGATCACATCGCTTAGCCTTCCATTTACATTACACGAGGAAACTAACTAAACAGCCATTCAGCAGCAGGCAGAAAGTAGAATCACCAAATTAATTCATAAACCAACGACAAGAGTAAGCTGTGTGCATATTTTTTTTTTTTTTAAAATTTTTTTTTTAATATCAAGAAAGAAGTAAAACTAGCCATATTACTAAATTTGGCCAGTTAAATGCTGGAAATTAACACAGCTAACAACTAAAGGATAACGATTACTATCATGATGATTCAGTCATGGCACAATATACAAAAACTAACATATCAAACATATACTTATCAAGGATTGACTAGGAATATGCTATTGAAGACATGAAAGCCATACATTTTGCTATAATACTTAATACTGACAAGTGACAGACCATGTCAATATTGATATATTATAGTACATAATTACAATGTCAACTTCTACTTTGAGGCCAGAAGAGAACAGTAAGCTACAAAAATCTAATGCTTATACCCACATCTCATTATTAAGTCAATGATTAAAGCTAAAGCACTAATTTTACAGTTCATCAACAGATACAGTTAGGGAAGCAATGTGAAATTCAAAAAGTGTACAATGAGTCAAAGAAAAAATCAGGCTTGTGATTGCATTCACAGTGGATAAGAAGCATGATGCTAATAAAGATCCATTAAAATCAAATCACTTTCTTGATCGTCTACTTAGAACATGAAATAAAAGAGGCATAAAAGGTGATAATTAACTGTTTTTTCATCATTATGTTAATATGAATGACCATTGCATAAACAAAAAGAAAGAGAGGAGGGCCATAAGCATGCGTACCCACTGTGGGTTTCAATCGCCTCAATCTGTCTCAATGCAATCCAAGACCAAAACGTAATCATATGGCCCGGAACCATTGCAGGGCCAAGAAACGATGGAATCCCAAGGATCAAAATCTCAGCCCAATGTGCATATGGGGCTGCAAAACCAATCGGCGCAGTGTACTCATGGTGTACCTTGTGAATCTTCTCGTACCCCCATTTGCAATGTAAAAATCTATGCACCCAATAGTTTGTGTAGTCCTCAACTATGAAATATACAGCTAATTGGATCAACATCTCCCATCCTGATGGCAATGGCAGTCCCGTTCTTATCCCAATTAACTGTCACATTTCATTATCAATCATTTCAGTTCTACTAATCATTATCATCTTACAACCACTCAATACAAAAATATTCACAAAATCATAAGCTAATTTTAGCATTTTTTTTAATGTCTTGTCCAATCTATTATATTCCTTCTCTAGTTGCACAAAAATATGATCATAATTCTCCAATCCTCCACCAAATGCAGTAAAAATCAACCTTGTCAACAATATCAATCCCCAAATCTAATGAACATACATATCAATTTCACATTATCAAACACAACAATTCATCAAATCTATAACAAAAATTACTAAAAAAAAATCCAAATTATCTCAAAAACTTAATCAAAAACACCAACATAATCATCAAAAAATCAATACAACAGTTTATATAAAACATGATAAGAATCATCAACATGCACCCACAAAAAAAAAAAAGGTAAAATTACAAGAACTTTTCCAAGAAATCATCAAAAACCCACTTCAGATTAAACAAAACCCAGAAAGAAAATGACTAAAAATCACCTGAACAGAAGGGTAGGAAACGAGTTGAAGAGGACCCACAACAAAGAAGAACATCTTCATAACAGTCTTATAACAAGCAATGATCTCAGAAAACGATAATCTGACTTTAGGCTGGATTTTGTAACGCTCGACATTGGCAGCGCGAAGAAGCTCGGCAACAACAAGAGGGATTGGGATGAGAGAGAAAATCACAAAAAGGAAGAAAATGTTGTGACAGTACAAAAAATAATCTGATTTATTAGCAGAGTAATTAAACCAAAGAGTTTCTGGGAATGTTAGTGTTCGATTTAAAACAGCTTCGGCTTCTCCGATTGTAGAGTATGGCAACATTGTATGTAGAATTTTCCAGAAAACCAGAGTATGAATGAATTGAATGAATGTGGTTTTTATTTTTTTGTGGAGTTCTGATTTTTATTTTTGGGTTTGTTTTATGTGTTTGATTAGTTTTTTGGATTTGTTTTGTTTAGGGAAGGTGTTTTTGTATGGTGTGCTGGACTGGGCTGGCAAAAGGAGAAGAAGTGATTGTTATTTAAAGGGAAGGGGGTGTTTACTGTTTGGGTTGGAATATTATTTATGGTGGCAAAAGTACAAAGAAGTGAGTGAGACGTTGTCTTTCTAAAATCGAATTCGCTATCTCGGGTGAACGGATTGCGTATAAGCATTAAATATATCATACTCCCTCTGTCTTCAAATGATTTTCCCATTTGACTTATCACGATCTCCAAAATGTGTCTTAAAATGTCTATATCTCTATTTCTATATATGTAAAAATTATAAAAACTTGATATCAATAAAATATATAATGTAATGAATCCAATAAGATCTCACATGAACATAAAATCTCTTTATAGATTAATGGGAATTTATGGTCAAATTTTAAAGTTTGACCCAAATATTGACAATGGGAAAATCATTTGGAGACGAAGGGAGTATATGATTACTTTAGACTTTATAAGCATAAAATATATTTATATAGTTAAATTAATAATATTTTCATTTCTTATTATTTGTAACACTTATATTTGCATGTATGTTAGGAAAAAAAAAGTAAGAAGTACATGAAAAATGATATACTCTCTTTGTGTCTAACTAAGTTTATCAGCCAATGCATAATTTTGATAACTAATATCTTTTATTTTGTATTAATTTAACTTATAAAAATTTGATGATGATATGAATACATATATTGTGATTAGTTCAAAAGAAGTACTTTGTACTACCTCCGTTGTTTCTTATTATTTGCAACAAAAGAATATTTTAGAATCAACTAAAAAGGACAAGAGGCACACATTGCGAATATTAAAAAAGAAAGGAAGTATTGATTTGGTAAACAATGATATAGTATAATAATTCATCAACCAAGAAAAGTATTAGATGAGTCAGTTTTACCGTGAATCTATCCACCCAATACATAGAATTCCGTTTATATGAAATTTTAATAAACTTACATGAAATGTCCAATAACTTATACGAAGTATCTAATTTTAAAAGTCGAGATATTTAATAATTTATATGAAATGTCTAATAACTTATTTATATCCATCTCACCGTGAGTTTAGATTCATACAATACTTTTTCATCAACCAATTTTTAACGATGCTTAATTATCAATTTCTCATTGTTCATGTTAACTTATTCATACACTTTCCTTTATCATTTTTTATGATTAATATGTAAAAAAATTCTCCTGTTAGATCCAATTAAATCCGTTTCAATATATACTTTCAAATTTTCAATTATTTTTTTATATAATCTAAGAGATTTAAGTTGTACATGAAGAAGTTTTAAAAGCGAATTAGTAAATATTATGGACAAGTACTCCTATATAATTGTGGTGGTAGTGCCTTAGTGAAGTAAGGCAAAGTGAGAGTAGGGACCAAAGCTCCCAAAAGCAAAATATGTGGACCCTATGTAATGTTGAAATGGGGGGCAATGCCCAAAAACCTTGAATATCTTAAGTTGGGTGCTCTAATTGTTTAGGGTTGTTGCAATAGGATGATGGATCATGGGATTGGTGGTTTTAGTAGTTATCTAGCATACGTGATGTTTGTAGGACTTTATCAAAAGTTGTCCTCCCTTTTAATATAAAATTAATGTTGTTAACAATAAAATTAAGTTCAATGACATCGAGATTGGATTGTTTAAGTAGTGATCCACGTGGTTCTTAAGATCTTGATTTGATTACAAGGTTTTGTTTAGCATATAATATGTTGTTTGATCAATAAATCGATTATATGTTTTTTGTACTCCACTACTTGTACTATTAGGTACTTTGTTACAAAAATTTCTTCATGTTTGCTTTTTAGTTAGGATTACTTTTTAGAGGAAGTTTAAATGTAAATATGTGTTCTTCAAAAATTATAAAAGTGCGTTAATAGTAGGAGTACTCTTTTATTTCTAAAGGTTTTTCACAAGTTTCATTGCTTTCTTCTATTTCTAAAGGTCTTAAGAATTTCGTGCACTAGCATAACTGGTTTTTTACTCCTCTTATCCCATACTCCGTAATATTTACACTTTTCTACTCAATATTTTTTTTTTCTTACACATACCATTACATTCTCTTTTACTGTATTCATTTTCTTACACTTAATCACCACATCATCATTCTCTCTCATTTTAGTTAGTGAGCAAAATAATAACAGTTAAAAGATTTCAAAAAGCAGTTGTTCTCAATAGTATCTGAAAAATAAATATAAAGATGAATCTATATTAAGATATCAAATGGTGAGAATTTTTTTCAATCTTATGCACTGTAATGGTGAAAATTATTAAAGGATTGCTTTGAAATTAAGACATTCTAAATAAAAGCAAAAGAAAACAAAGGGAGTACTTGTTACTACGTAGTAATATATCATGGTAAAAAGAACTTAACCTTTTACCGTTCAATATAAGACATTTATTGAGGTTTTTTCTGTTTAGTAAAGATCTTCCTGTTTGTATTTTGCACAATTTTGAGTAATTTTTGTTTTAATCATGAATAACTTCAACTTCACATTAGTAACAACTAGAAAAGTAAATCCCTAAACACTGCCAATAATATTTATCACCACCGCCAACATTTGGTGTGAATGGACGGTTATAATCTTACGACTTCGATCACCACCACCTCATCCTCATCAGTGACCCACAACCTCCCCTCACCTACGCTGCACAACCTCCCCTTCACCAGCGAAAAAGTGGTGTTTTTTTTTTATTATTTTTATTATTATTATCGGCAACCTACCCAACTGGCTCCCAAAATCGGCGGCCAAAATCGGCTCAACTGATGCCGAAAATCAGTTAGCCCTCGAGGAAAATTAATAACCGATTTTTGGCACCATCGGTTTTTAATTTCCCTCAGGGATCTTCAAGTCAGAAAAATAAAAAAGGGTTCCCCCCTGTTGAGGTAAATATTGCTCTTTACCAACAAGTTAAATACTCTATCTTGTTCTAGAGTATTAGGGGGCTGCCCCTCGAGTTACCAGTTTCAAAGATTGATAAGCTTGCTAACGTAAAACAATACAATAAGGAAGCTTTCCCAAAAGAAGTAAAATAGGTTAGATTGCTCAAAGAAACGAGTAGATAAACATATGACAAAAGATACAAATGCATTCCATAATTAAAGGATAGAGTCAGGTCTACAATTGTACACGTTGGAGGAGAGGTTACCTCAATGATCATACAATTGGAAAAGACGAACGATTTTCAATACATGCTACGTGATAAACTACACTATCGCTTGGCTACTAAGCCAAGGAAAACTATTAAAGCTAAGAAGAAAGCTTAAAAGAAATGAAATGCTTGTTGTTGATTGATTTGCTGATGTCCTTCCTCTGATCCTTGTGCTTCTATTTATAGGCGAAATGGAGCGGTTATGGCTGACTCCCATAACTGTTGTACAGTTATGCTTCTTGGCGCCAACACTTCTTCAAAAACTAAAAACATCTATTAGCCTCCAAAACCGGCCTTTATGTATTAGGCCTTTATGTGATGTCGACCCAGTTGCTTTTATGTCTTGGCCAGTTTAGCCCAAAGACCTTTTACTGACTTTAAAAACCTTTTACATTTGGTCAAAGTCAAGAAGGTCAAACAAAAGTCAAAAATCTGATTTTTTGGGTGTAACAAATGCCCCACTAATTTGGGTGGTTGATGGCGTTTGAAACCAACCAAATTATGACTTTTCAAGCATAAATATAAAGCATTGTGTATGTCTAACTTTGTAAATATTAAGAACACAGAATGTAAAAATTACTTAATATTTATAAAGATAAAATAATTACAAAAGAAGAGCATTTCAAAACTTATAAGATTTGAATTGTGAATGCCCTTTTAAAGGATTTAAGGCTAAATATATACAACGATATACTTATTGAGATCCCTCTAATATGCTGGGTCATCTTGGATCATTGCTACACTATTTTGTAGCTCGGGGTCGTCGAGATAATCTTCGAATTCATCGTCGCTAGGCTCTACAAGGAGCTAGTTGATCCTATTATGCTTGAAAATCTCTTCGTACCACAGTTGGCAAGTGCATTTGTACATTAGGGTGTGCATTTCCCCTTCTATACCCCTGGTTACCTTGACTTCATAGTACGTCTTGGAGTAAGGAATAGACCTTGCCTCCAATTTTCCATCGAATGTGGGAGGAAAGTTCGTTCTGATTTCCTTGGCCCATCCTTTGCAAACAAAGGCGGCGTTCGCCCAGTCCTCTTTCTCCTCCAAGTAAGAATGTATGAAATTCTTTAACAAATCAGCGTTTGCACCCACTTGAAAAGCGCTAGGCCTAGCAGGTTCGTCTTCATCTTCAAGGATTGCAGGTCTGTCCCCCCATCGCTTCTTGATCCTCCTGTTGAGGCGATTTCTCTTCCGATTCCTGTAGTTCCTCCTCCATTTAGCGCATCTATCCATGGCTAAATGGCGATTTGGGCACTCGTTTGGATACTCAATAGATCCATGAAGTATATTGTCGACATGGAACATACCAACTCCATAAACTTTCCCATTATGCCCAATGTGTAGCATCTGAATGAGATTTATAAGATCCTCCATGATAATTTCAAAATTCAATATTTAGAAAGTGGTTGAAGAATTATGACAAATTAATTTCTTAGAGAGAGAAAGTAAGGTAGAGAAATAAAAATTGGCTTATAAAGAAGGAAATTTTTGAGTGAAGTGACTATTCGTATGTATAATCACTCTTGCGTCACCCCTTGACGGTTAAAATTCTCAGTTACTTCAATACTTTGTGGTAAAACTACGTAACTCTCCATATTCTTGAAAGTCGTTTATCCAAAAATCATATTAAGGGGAATGAATTTGAAATAAAGCGTCACAGAAATTACATGGTAACTTCCTTTTTCAAGTTAATAAATTACTGATCATTTAACTTTATTGGGAATTTAGAAGTGTCTTTTCAATTAAATGTCTAAAAATATAGTTGTCTATCACTTGGTAAATCGTGAAAATAATTATAATTACTACCCATATATTTTAATTTCTAAAAATTAAAAAATATATTTGTGTGGGTACAATTATAATCAACCAATTGCATCGCTTGATCAAATGAACAAAATATTCATAACTTGCATTGAACATATATATAATTTAGACAAACCCAAGATCAGACAATATGAAATTAAACTTTAAAGAGTTAAGACATGATTAAAAACATGTTTAAGTACTTAGTTTCAAAGGAACTAAGAACATGAAACACATCATG